ATTCATTCAACTTTTCGTTTTATAATGCTTTGTGTAGTTTTTGAAAAAGATGGCCGATGCTGAGGATATTCAGCCACTTGTTTGTGACAATGGAACTGGAATGGTGAAGGTCAGTTCATTGGTTCCTCTATTTTGTATTCTTGTGTCGTAGCCCGGTTGGATTTATCGATATGCTCTAATTTAATGTAATGCTTTATGGTGCAGGCCGGTTTTGCTGGTGATGATGCTCCGAGGGCAGTTTTCCCAAGTATTGTTGGTCGTCCCCGACATACTGGTGTCATGGTTGGTATGGGCCAAAAAGATGCCTATGTTGGGGATGAAGCTCAGTCTAAGAGAGGTATCCTTACCTTGAAATATCCCATTGAACATGGTATTGTCAGTAACTGGGATGACATGGAGAAGATTTGGCATCACACGTTCTACAATGAGCTCCGTGTTGCTCCTGAAGAGCACCCCGTGCTTCTGACTGAGGCTCCACTCAACCCAAAGGCTAACAGAGAAAAGATGACTCAAATCATGTTTGAGACATTCAATGTGCCTGCCATGTACGTTGCCATTCAGGCCGTTCTATCACTCTATGCTAGTGGACGTACAACTGGTATGCTTGTATATTCTATTTGAATGACTATGATGTAATTTTGAGCTTCTATAATTTGGTATTGATAACGAGAACCTACTTTGAACAGGTATCGTGCTGGATTCTGGTGATGGTGTGAGTCACACCGTTCCCATCTATGAGGGTTATGCTCTCCCTCATGCCATTCTCCGTTTGGACCTTGCTGGTCGTGATCTCACTGATGCTCTAATGAAGATCCTCACTGAAAGAGGTTACATGTTTACCACTACTGCCGAACGGGAAATTGTCCGTGACATGAAGGAGAAGTTGGCTTATGTTGCTCTTGACTACGAACAAGAACTCGAGACTGCAAAGAGCAGTTCCTCAATTGAGAAGAACTACGAACTGCCTGATGGACAAGTCATCACCATTGGAGCTGAGAGATTCCGTTGCCCAGAAGTCCTATTCCAGCCATCTCTCATCGGTATGGAAGCTGCAGGAATCCACGAAACTACCTACAACTCCATCATGAAGTGTGATGTCGATATCAGAAAGGACCTTTATGGAAACATCGTCCTCAGTGGTGGTTCAACCATGTTCCCTGGTATTGCTGACAGGATGAGCAAGGAAATCACAGCCCTTGCTCCCAGCAGCATGAAGATTAAGGTCGTTGCCCCACCAGAAAGGAAATACAGTGTCTGGATTGGAGGGTCTATTCTTGCATCTCTAAGCACCTTCCAGCAGGTAAATCTTCGAGTTGCTGAAAGCACCATCTGTTCCATTAGTGTTATTTTGTACTCGTCAACGCTCACACATGCATTTTGTTTGTATCAGATGTGGATTTCAAAGGGTGAATACGACGAGTCGGGTCCATCCATTGTCCACAGGAAGTGCTTCTAAGCACGTCAATCTCTTTGATGAGATGAGGAGGAGGAGGACGACGACGACGACGGTGAGTTATTTCCCTTTAGTTGGCTTTTTTGTGTCATGTAATGTTGAACTGAGATTGGTTGGCGTCAAAGGAGGAAGGGGGGGTCTATTGAATTGAAGGAACTATGTTGGATTTGTTATATCTGAAAGCATTTGATCCACTACTATGATTCTCCATTGATACGGTGGCCTTGTTGTTGGAAGCTCACAATTGCTGGTGACCCTCCAGGTTTGGGGCCATAAAAAGATATATTCTGTTCTGTTCTGTCCTGTCATCTTCTTTTTAGTAGGGATATTTGTAGCAGAAGAGTGATTGTGATGCTTTTTTTAAATATATATATATTTTTTCAATTTTCTTTTTTTTTTTTTTTTTTTTTTAGGTTTTCCCCTCAGAA